GGTTACTGAGCAGTATAAGCCTTCACTGTTTCTGTAGCTAAGTGATGAGACTAACCTTGATCCAGTTGCCATTTTCTAGCTTCAAAACCATAGCTGCAGTCACTTATCTATGAATCCAGCAAAGGGTAGTGTCATTACTTAGATCAACCACTACTCCAGTAAATAGGAGGATCTAGAAAAACCTGCTGCATATCTTCTCCTCTGCCTCTTTACAGAATGAGACAGGTTAGAGCCAATGCCATACAGTTAGTAGTTTACTTTTAATAAGTTTTCCATTTCCAGTGGTCTCCAAACCTCACTGTTTAACACCTTGATTTAAACACGATTAACAATGGGTATAATACTAAATATATGGATATATATACATATAATTGATATATATATGTATAATGGAGATATATGTATATAATGGTATATACTAGAGCTCTGAATTTAGGGTTTGGTTCTTTTCAAATAGAAATTCACAAGTCACCCAGCTACACTGGTGAACACCAAACTTGATGAGGTTAAAAAGTTCTCCAGTGGTGCCAAGTACAATTTTTGTATGAGAAAAGAACTTGCCCATTCTTATCATTATGCTCTTAAACTTTGATGCTTTTTTTAACTAGCTTTTAGTCGAATGTATGTTAGTGAAGCTAAGGCCAAACCTGTGTTGCTTACAAGCAACTCTGTAACAGTCTTGCAAGTTATTTTCCCAACACATTTCCTCATGTCCCAGTGCATTATTTTCAGGGAGAAAGAGGAGTTAAACAGTCCTTCACTGCAGAGGTAAACCAAATTGGAACAGATTCTCAGATACCAATACTGCAGCTTAAAAACACCATGTGCTGAGGACAGGTCTGTGTTGTCTGCCAAGTCATGACAAATTGTACAGAGTGAAATAAGGTTTATTTGTTATGCGAACACCTCTGTTCCTAACCCAGCAGAGGCAAACATTACCCCCCAAAAAACCAATACGCTTTTGTGTTCTTATACCAGACACATGAATTGCTTTAAGTTCTACTGGTCCTATGCAAATTCCACTTTAAAGGTAATTATCAGGTGCATGCAATAAGCATATTCACATTTCAGGAGCTATTTTCAGCATTAATCCATTAATACTATGAACATCATTTCCTAATCCCCACCAAGAAAAAAAGGCTTTGTTAGACAAGACAGTTGTATTGAATTCACTTCCTTTTATTGCAGTGACATCCCCCTGGTACAAAGTATTAACTGCAATAATTACGTTAAAACATTAGAAAAGCATTTGTGTGTGACAGTTACAGTACAGTGTCAAACATCTTCAAACCAAGTGGGTACATGACCCACTAACGCTCAGATCTTTAAATTATTTTCAGTTATTTTTAAATATGTAATGTCAGGGAAAAAAGCATATAAAAAGAATGTATGTAAAAGAAAACCTAAATACAAGTGAACAAATAAATAATTGATTTTTTTTTGCCAGCTATTACTTGCCTCTCTAAGCTCATACAAGGGAACCTAATCTACAGAAGGTATGAATTGCTGTGTGTGATTTTGTTTTGCATATCATTAATAACGACTGGAACGTAAGTAAAATTTGGCGGCAAAAAAAAAATAAAATCAAAACTGAAGTGAGAGTGACTGCCACTAACTGACATTGCTGCAGGCAATTACCATTAAAATCACCACGTTGAAATTTTAGTGAGCAAATAATCTTGAAACTTGATGTCATGCCTAGCGTTAGTGGAGTCCTGAGAGCGCGGGTGAAAAGCGACCTATGTTATTTTCACAGACATTACCTTAACTATCCCCATATGCATATTTAGATATATTTTTATATAATTTTATACACATATATGCATGTATACACACACACACACACTTCATTTGGTTTCTGTGTTGTGTTACAGATCACAAGCAATTGTTTCCTGAATGGGCAAATAAACCTTTTAAATAAGTGTACCTGTGCATGTTTGTTTTAAGATAGCAGCACTAAGTCCATGCCATACTGTCCATCTGCTCAGAAGAATGTTGCCCACAAAACAAGGAGAAACATGGCAATGATTCCATATGCACAATGGGACAACCTTATCATGTAAAAAACCCCAAAACCCACTGTAAAACCTGTGATAGATATGTTGGTAAGCTGGATCCTCCCCTGTCACCTAGAAGGAAACAGCACTTTTACTGCAAACTGTCTTGTCTTACAATGTTTATCACAACAAGCTGGGTTCATGCTGGCATCAGTTATCTCACACTTAGCAGCAAGACATGCATGTTTTGTTTTCCTTATATTTTTCAAAGTGAAATGATTCAATTGTCTCAAATCCAATTGACAGAAAATAGCAAAAAATAAAAAAAAGGTTTGTTTGCAGTTTACCTAGAACCTGACAACAGTGCATACTGCAGTGTAGAATATGTTTAACAAGTTGAAGCTCTGCCTTGCCACACAATGACTATGCTTTGTCCTTCAAAAAAAACAGTTACATTTCAATTTGATCCTATATTTAGCAAAAAAATAAACCAAATACCTTTCCTGTGCATCCTTAAATGAAAGTCACTCACCCACTGGTAAAATAACCCAGTAGCATGTCCAATGCTAATATCAAAAGCTTGTGAAATGTTTTTAGGCAATCCTCTCTATCCAAAATATATTAGGAATTTAAAAAACAGTTCACATTACTAACCTTTGTACAAAGGCTGAAGTGAAATTTCTTTTGCAGGTGTTCATAGTAGACTAAATTATGAAGTTTTCAAAATATACAATGAAAGGGCACACAAGACTGGCAGTTTCTTTATTGAACATATAAAATGTATAAAGTAGGATGCATGGAATAGATTAAAATTGCTAGACAATCAAACCTGAGTATTATTTAACAAGACTAAATGCATTTTCTGACAACTGAACAAATTCAACCTAAAAACATCTCCTCTAATAGCTAGTGGTCCTTTTAACCATTTGTTGAAAAACGCGAGAGAACTGCAGCTTCTACATTTCCTGCTGGATAACAAGATTCCACATAGTGTTTACTGTTCTCTGTTAGATAGCATCACATTGCTTGTATTATCCCCATTCAAGCCTTAAGTTGAGTTTTGTTTTAAAAAAATAAGTTGAAAGTGACACTAAAACATAACAGGCCAAGAACTAGGCCAGGTCTTTCTTTTTAATCTAATCTATAGTAAAAATAAAATCAGCATGAATTTGGTTTCACAGCAGAGCTAAGACTGACCAGTGTCCTCTGCCTAGGTAGATAATGTTAGCTATGTATCTCAGGCTAATGCTAAGGTAGCACTCACTGCTCAATTTCAGAAAATGATCCTCCTTGCAAGCAGAATTAGTTTCATTTTAACTGTTACAGAATTTAGTTGAGCGAAGTCTCGACAATGACTTCAGGAGTTTGCTTTAGTTCGACTGACCTGCCCCAATTCTCACCTTTAAATCTAACAGATATAATAATAAAAAACCAAAAACTTTCTGATAATAAAAAACATACAGTACTAAGAACTAATAGCTCAATGGAAGACTGAAAAGCAGCATTCATTTTTATCGTAATATGGAAGAGACTAGAAACCAAAGGAAGTCTGATCTAAACTCTTAGTTGAAGGCAGATTTTGACATTCTATATAAATTTACAAAATAGGATGTATGGGTGAGATTTGGTTAATTTCAGAAGGCACCTCAAGGCTAAAAGGCTTTTATAAATCTATAATCCTTTCATTGAGCAAAAATACATTTTATTGCTGCTATTCAAATAGCAAACAGAAAGCTTGTCTTGTTCTTCAGTCTAACAAAGAATCCTCCCCCATTAAGCAAGATTAAATTACAGAAAATATAGAATAAAACTGAAGATGTCACAACTTTAGAAATACAGTGACTTTCCTTGTGTGCTTTCAAGTCAGTGAAATAGTGAAAGAAGAGTCACTTTTTGCCTTTGTGATGTTAATGAACTATAGACCATGTCAGTCACTCTCCGCTGGGCACTGAAGTACCATTTCATCACAGCTGTCCTATTTGCAGTACTCTTAGGAATAGAACGTGAGAACACTCTGGTGATTCCCACGGACGAGGAGAATGGGTGGCAGATCTTTAGAAAGAGCTTCTAACCAGGCCATGTACAGCGCACTAGAAACTGCTCCTTTTCGTGCAACCGGCAAACTCCTGCAAGTCACAACAAAAACAGTCAGCCACTAGAAACACCTGGTGAAGTACAAATTAGGCCATAATAAACATGAGAGAGGATTCTGCAAAGAAGTAGGTACAAAGTCAAATTTCCTAACCTTTATTATTTACCTGCCCCTCCCCGGATGCAGTGAATGAGTTGAGTTTGTATCTTAAGCATCGCAGATATTTGCATCTATTCACCCCTCACTTTTGGCCTGTTACCAGTTTTGTACTCGGGCAGCTTCATGCAGAATCCTCCTGAGTTGCTGAGGAGTCTCTTGAAGGACTCCAAAATTTTAAAATACAGCAGTAATAAATAATCTGCTTGTTTACACCAAGAGAAACTCCATGTGAACAGGATAATGATCTAACTTCACCTAGACAGATCTCCTAGAAAAATGACTGAAAGGAAGGACCTGAAAGAGAAGGGAAGAGTTGGCATGCAGGAGTGAAAAGAATGTGAGAACCCTGAGCTGCACTATAAATGTGGAGGTGATCAACTAAAACAGTATTTCAAAACACAACACTACACAGGACATTTATACACCAATACAGTAGCTCAGTATTTCTAATAAACACACACAGTCAGCACTGGAATCCCCTTGAGTATTTCTATACTTTAATGCCAAAGCATAGGCTTTTCCCTGATCTGCATTTACATACATTTATGTTTCAAATTACAGTTCCATGTCAATTAGGATAACAACACAAATCCAGATCATTTACTTACATGACAATTATCTTAGCTGTACTTGAATGTTCTTTCAGCAACTCGTTTAGCCTAATCTGTCGGTAAGTCTGTAAATAAAATTAAACTTGTTAGGAAGATCTTCTATTTAATAACTACAAGAGGTTCATTTTGAATGAATATAAAAATGAAAACTAGTTATGATCAATTAGTATGAGTAATTTATAGAAAGCATGTACTTCCACCTCACAGTGGCAACTTGTTCTCTTTTCCAGCTCCTGGAAGCAAAAGCCCCTTCTCACAAGATCACAGAATGGTTTGGGTTGGAAGAGATCATCAGGTTCCAACCCCTTGCCATGGGCAGGGACACCTTCCACTAGACCCACGTTGCTCCCATCCAACCTGGCCTGGAACACTCCAGGGATGGGGCAGCCGTATGACCTTCATTGTAAAGAATCTCCTCCTAACAGCTAACCTAACCATAACCTCCCCCAGCTTAAAGCTATTCCCTCTTGTTCTATCCCTACATGCCCTTGTGAAAAATCCCTCTCCAACATTCTTGGAGCCCCTTTAGGCACTGGAACGGCGTCCAAGCTCTCCCTGGAGCTTTTCTCCTCCAGGCTGAACACCCCCAGTATGACCTTCATTGTAAAGAATCTCCTCCTAACAGCTAACCTAACCATAACCTCCCCCAGCTTAAAGCTATTCCCTCTTGTTCTATCCCTACATGCCCTTGTGAAAAATCCCTCTCCAACATTCTTGGAGCCCCTTTAGGCACTGGAACGGCGTCCAAGCTCTCCCTGGAGCTTTTCTCCTCCAGGCTGAACACCCCCAGCTCTCTCAGCCTGACTCCACAGCAGAGCTGTTTCAGCCCTCTGAGCATCTTCATGGCCTCCTCTGGACTCGCTCCAACAGGTCCATGCTGTTCCTGTCTGTATTGGGGATCCCTCAGAGCTGGATGCAGCACACCAGGTGGGGTCTTACCAAATCAGAGTAGAGGAACAGTATCCCCTCCTCACCTGCTGCCTACACTGCAGGGAATAAGCCCAGGACACAGGTAGTTTCTGGGCTGCAGAGAACATGGCCAGGGCATGTCAAGTTTCTCATCCACCAGCACCCCAAGTCCTTCTCTCCAGGGCTGCCCTCCATCCATTCTCCTCCCAGCCTGTATTTGTGTTTGGGACTGCCCCAACCCATGTGCAGGATACTATACTTGGTCTTGTTGAATTTCATGTGGGTCACACAGGCTCACCTCTCAAGCCTATCCAGCTGCCTCTGGATTCATCCCTTCCCTCCAAGGTGTCCCCTGTGTTCTCTTAAAGGTTCTTTAAACTATATCCTACAAGTTCACAGTGAGCAGGTCTTGCAGAACAGAAACCTCCTCTTCTGTTGAAAAGCCTGTGTCCACAATGGGCCTCCCTTTATTTACTGCCCTTCCCATCTTAATATCTGAGGAAGCTTCCTCTGTCATTTCCAGTTCTCTTATGCCAACTAACTTTCCAGAAAACACTTTGAAATAACCATTTCTTAGAGCTTAGTTGTTCTCAAATAAGCTGTAGTCTAGTTAGCCTGTGGGGTAGTGTCTGCAGAAACAACTGAGCTATCAGCAGACAAGAGAGTAAATCACTGGGATTATCCCACTGAAATAAGTTTTGGCAGTGTTTGTAGACGTAAGGTAACGGTACATGATAATCTCCCCTGTGCCCAGGCCCTTGGTAATATGCAGTTAGGAGATCTTAGCAGCAGATGTCAGTCAATCTGTACCTGTGAAATAGATTCTTGCCTTTTTCACACTTACAATGCAGAACGACCTACCACTCCCACTTCTCAGCTGCACATCCTCATTGACATTGTAAAAACCCGCACAGCATAAAAGATCAGAGTGGAACAAACTTGAAAATCTTCAGATCACTGAAACTTTACCCAGTCTGTCTTTAGATAAGCTGTTTGTATCTGCATCCTGTTACAGGATGACCTTCATTTTCTCCTCCACAGAACCACTTTAGAGGAAATACTTCTGTTGTTTCCCATAGTGTACAATAGCTTGGGAAAGATGTCAAATTGCTCTTTTATACCAGAATTAGATGTGGTGTGTTGTCTGGTTTTGGTGTATATAGATTATATTATCCTAAACTGACTGCTGAAATACTGTGGGGAAGCAGTTTAGCCCCCATACTCAAGTCCAGATCCATTTTGTTCTGTGAACCATCTAAGTGGTTTTAGGTGCTGCTTTCCATCAGCTATATATAAAACCAGATATGGAACAGAGAGAGAGTAACAAGAATGAACTCATCAATATCACATCCACAAATACAGTAGGAGAAAAAACGCTTGAAATAACACTATGAAGAACCTTTGTTTTGTAAAGCTCAAGTTCATTATCTGTTATCCTCCAGGGTTCATCCTCCTTCATTTTATCTGCAACTTCTTGTTCTTTATCATCTTCATGAAGTCGGAAGGGCTCTATCATTTCCTCAAAAGCTGCAATACTGAAAGGATTAAGTAAACAGATCATTAATTAAAACAGAGAGGAGTCTGTATGTCAGCAATGACTTTCAGGGTATCAGAAAGTAAGTGAAAATAAAGTGAACTGAAATTTTTTTGCTGTCTGTTGCTGTTAGAACATCACATCAGCTATTTGCAAACACAGACACTGTAATTCAACCAACAGTCCAAGACAGTTGTAGGAGCTTTCGCTGTTCATCACGCAACTATTTTACCCAGTTCAGAACACAAACAGCTCCAATACCTTTTGAGTTTCACTCAAATTTTGAAAGCTGAGGACTACTACCCTTAGAAAATGGGCAGTAACTGGGAGCAGCTCCTTCAGAACTGAATTTGGAAGAGGAGTTTACATGTCACACACAAGAAGCAAGCAGCTATCAAGCCTTGTGGTATTGCCATTAGGATTTCAGCTTTGCATTTTATTTTGCTTCTTGTTAATCTTTTCAGTACAGTCCAAGAGCCACATTCAAATGCAAAAAACCAGCTTATTTAGTCTTCTGGTTGCACTTGTTGAAATATGAACACTGAATATACTAGGTATTTAGAAAGAACTTGGGAATAAAACCTTCTGAAGATCAAAGAGGCATTAATTTCTACAAGAAAGGGCAACTTACATTTACCTGGTTTTCTACCCACATTTCCTCCAAGAAATACTCAGAAAACATCTTTTATCTAACCTTGGCAGTTTTTACTGCAGTTAGTTGACACAATGATTTCACTTTAATCAAAAAAGAAGAAAACAAATGTGCCATTTTTTTGGATGAACAAAAAGGAGAACTACTAACAATATTATAGATAAATATCATAGATTTAATTATATACATTAACATATACATATGTTAAATATAAGAATATTATATTTAACAGCAACTGTTAAAACTTCCTCCACTTGATTTACAGGTATTGTTATTGCCCACTGGTATCTTAGAAAGGTTTTGGATACACTGTGGGGAATGGAAATAAATTTGCACTGAAACCCATCTACAATCAGTAATTTTTCTGAACTGCAAAGTGAGAAAATGACCATTCCTGTGTAAATTAAAACGTCCAAGCAAATTTAACAAAGAAGAATAAAAACCAGATCAGGCTATCTCTGAGCAAACTTTGTTACATTAAACTAAGACTAAAGTAAGATTCAGATGGTCTAAGTTTTTGTAAGCATTTCTCTTTTTAGGGACTATAGCTCCAGGTAAGGTGGATTTTTTTGAAAGTGCAGTTTTGTAAATTTGGTATCAGTCTCAGGGCCAGAGATTTAACAAATACAAAATTCTACACTCTTGAATGTAGGAGTTACTGCTTAATTAATTTCCTACATTTTTGTAAGACATGAATGTCACAGGAGCTACAGCATCAAAACTGTTATGTAGGAAAGAATGAAGTATTTTAAGTTAATGAAAGGCATCACAAATTCAATCAATAAACAAGATGTTTTGGGACTTACTTTTCTTTCTTTGGCTTTGTATTAATATCCCCAAGAACCGTAATATCTGAGAAGTCTATCCGGAATTTGCTGAGCAAAGTAGCCATCCTGCACCAGAAAAAACAAGCCTTTATACACGACCACGTTTTTAATTATTTCATATGGTAAACAGAGAGACATTTGGTAATAAAAACACTGGTTTAAGACACAAAAAAAATGGCATATCTCATGTAATAGGGAAAAGAATCAAACTGACCTGGCATATGACTATAGATCAACAACAAGCTTTGGAAAAAACCCCAGAGCTTTATGGTTTTAATATGAGGAGAGCTCTCCCTTAAAGGCCACCTCAGAAAATACTTGGAAAAGAAAATGTGTCAGACAATACTGCAGAAAAATTAGTTTGAGGTACTTCATCCACAACCATTTGTGGAAAATGAAACCTTGTGACTACACCTCAACCAAAGAAATAAGGCTACAAGGAAGAGAAAGTGGTCCAATGTGTAACAGGCTCTACTGGCACTTGGAATTGAATTCTCAAGGTCAACTTACGCTCTTCTGTCATGATCAATCCTGTTTATTTTTCCTCCAATGAACACTCTGATCTTGCAGTCCTTCCACTTCTTTTTGGTTGTAATAAGGTAAGGAATCAACAGTGTCAAACCTGCATTTTGACCAGAATTTGAGAATGATTAAAACCCCAGCATCTTGTTAAACAGTGCAGGTTTTGTATGAACTGACAGAAGGATATCTATTAACAATTAATCCAAAAACCACTTTAGTCATTTTTCTATCAACATTTAATGTTTTTTACCTCCATCATCAAAGAGCCACCAGACATCAATATTGCTTTTGCCTTGTTTCTTCTGAAACTGAGTACTGGCATCAAGAAGACTTTGGTCAGCCGAGTTTAGAGGAGATGTACTCTTTGCATCTGGAAAAAAAACACGGTGAGATTTCAATTGTGAAGTGTTTTGCTTAGTCACTTTAAATCCATCAAACCCAACTTCTTAATATTTTGTGGTAACTTTAAATTAAAATTATTTCTTGCCTTCCCCAAAGCCCACTCCAGCCGTAACCTGAGCTAGCTGTATTTAGGGAGTCTGTGGACTTACAACTTCAGCAGCTGAAAGCTGCTTAGGAGGCATCTGACAAATAAAGGATATGTGAGATCTTCATACAGGCATTTACTGGGACAATTTAACTGATCTTGCTTCACAGCATTAGGCCATGCACTGCTCTTACCTCTTGCAAATGACAAAGCTCCCGAGAAATATGTAAATAACTAATTTTACAAGTAAATACCATGTCCTAAGCTTCCATGTCCTAAACTTGTTTCCTTAAATTCACTTTTCCTTCAGGCACGTGGTGAAAATCAAAGCTATGTCTGCCTATTGGAATCCTGTCTTCTGCAACAGGTACTGATTTGCATGTGCAAGACTCTGAAGCACAATACAGACTGCTCTGCATAACAGGGGTTATTTGATTTGCTGAGCATAAGACAATAAAGGCATTTTCAGTGAGATTAATGCAGGTGATTTTGTTTTTAAACTACAGGAAAAAAACTAACTCCCCTAATTAAAATCTCAGTTTGCGCAAGAGACAGGAGTATGATGTTCGTCTCTGTCCTTATTTTATTAGAAGTTTTTAAATTTAGAGCACATCTGCGACTGATTTACATTAATATACTACTTTGCTGCACACTGGGACACCTTCCAAACTACCATCTTGTGCTTCAAGATTGAATCTCACTTTCCATTATTAAAACACAAAAGCTTCTAGCTGCTGAAATGATGGAAAAATGTCAAAACAATCAGATGAATTCTAGTTAGAGCAAAAAATTACCTGATTAACTCACAAGAAGTCTGAAATAAACCAAGGAGTGAAAACTGCTTAGTCCAGCTCTCAAAATGCTGCAATTTGAATGACTGCTTAGCATTGTTTCAGGTGTTCACCTCACTAAAGGGATGTATTATGCTTTAATTTGCAGGATATGGAGCAATTACAAACAACAAAGCAAAAATTATGGCTTCAGAGGAGATCCTGAATAGACTGACAGAGCATTTGCACTACACCATTATTTTCCATACTCCTGAACCAAGCTAGGACCCCGATACCCCAGACACAGAATTAAGAAAGCAGAAACCTCCAGAACACAGTTCAGATGTTACTAAAGAATACATAAATCTTTAACATTCCAACATCTATGCACACTCTTTTCTCAGCAGCAACTTGTTCTGGGAACTTTCCTGGGAAAATTCCAAAAATTAGGCTTTTTTTTTTTCCATAGTCTAATCCCTAAAGATGAATCACATTCTGAAGCAGATATGTAGAAAAATTAACATAGCAAGGCTGATTTTTTCCCTCTGTTATTTATGTGTAGAAAGGAGCACAAAAGGAAAAGTGAAATTAACAATGTGAAAGAATGATTTAACACAAAAAGGTGGAAAATGCCTGCCTTTTTTCAACAGTGGTTGTGTTGTTGGAGCCTTTCCATCCTCGTTCTCCTCTGGAAGGTTTTTAAAGATACAAAATAAAAAGGTTAATTTCCTTTGTGATACTAAAGAAAACAAACACTACCAGTGTATTTTTTAAAAAAAGTCAGAAAATAAAGATGCAGAATGAAATGGATTTTCACAGAAAGAAAAGCACACAAATGCAGTCTACCAAATCCTGAGATTCATTTGTACTTTAAAGAAAATACATTCTCCCATTGCTCACTTAACTATTAAAGCTTTTGATTTAAAAGAGAAGGGGAAAGTTCCTCAATGATTTGTGTCTGTTAACACATATATCGTATTCTAGTCCAAGATGAAAAATCCTTCATAAATTTAGCAGCTTTCCAATCACATGTAATATACAGACGTGGGGCACAACTCTCAAGCTTTTTTAATGCCTACCAAAATCAGAACAGGTGGTAGACAATGACCTAAGGTGGATTTTCTTTGTACTATTTAGGGGACTAGAACAGAAGGTTTACTTTACATACTGGTAAGCTCTGAACCAAAGTACTTGAGTAATTAGACATCAAAGTCTCAAAAATCACAACAATCATGTTCACAGACACAAAAATCCTTTAAATAATCCTTTAGTGAAGGAAGAGAGGAACTGAAGAGCGAATGAGAGAAAGAGTGAGAACTCAAATTTCCTTGCTAACTAGCAGGTTACCTTTATGCAGACCAGAAGTTCTTTCACCAGATACTGGAGCAAAAGCTATAGAAGTGTCTGTCTCAGACTTCTTGCTGTAATCCACTTTTACTATGACATCCTTGGTACATGGAGATTTTTCCTGGGATGACAGTAACTCTTCTTTGAGAGAGCAGAGAAGCATATTATAAACCACTGAACTGCTCCAAATGGTATCAACAGAGTTGTGCAACTATGCTGTGCTGGTTCACGATTAACTAAACTCTACTGCAACTGGTATGCTATGGCAAAGGGGAGGAAAGGCAGAAAACCAACACAGAAGTCTTGTATGAACTGCTTTGGAGTACAGAGAGGCTCCTCCTGAGCAGAACTACAACTCCCTGCTGCCTTTCCAGATTGTGGTTGTTGATTGCATTTCCACAGGCTAAACAAAACAAGTGCTACTTAATAATGTAGAAGTATAACCAGGAGGAAAAAAAATTACTTGGTGAAATGTTTTCCATTTCCACTCTAAGTCCACAAGGAAGATATGCCTTAGGCAAGACACAGACCTAGAATGCCTCACAGCTAAGTCTTCTTCGCAGGTTTGGCTTCAGTGGAGCTACTTGGTAGCTGTCAGAGTCAAATCAAACTCACAGTCCCCAGTGGATACCAAGATGCTTTTGACACCTTGGTGTTAACATTCCCTGTCTTCTCTGCAGTGTTGTTTTCACACTGCAGGTGCACTCTCCCTGCTATTCCTCATACTCCTCTGCCCTCTTGCACACAGTGACAGGCTCTCTTGACTCTCTTCCCATCCTAAGACATTCATGTGTTCCCAGTGAAGGAACAACCAACCCTCCCCTCTTTCAGAAGGATGCCCCTCCTACAGAGCTTGTGTCACAAGCATTCTTCCTCACTGTAGCAACATTGTACGGAGCAAGCTACAAACAAAGTGGACATTATCAATTCAGTAGACAGTTGCCACCAAGGCTCACAGCCCTCCTTCAGTATTCTGCTTGAAATGTAACTAAAATTACACCCTTCAGCTTAAGATCACTACCTACAAAGCATAACCATGTCCTCTACATAGAAAATAGAAAACCTTTCTAATTCTTACTCAGGGTCTCTAAAATAGTGTGTGTAGGGGTTGGCAACCCACACCAGACCCATAGAAATCCTGCATCAGGCAACATTTGCTGTGATTTTCACAATTTCTAGGCTTGAGTACAAAAATATTTGATACTAACTTGCCAGCCAACTTGCTTCAGTAAAACAGTAAATCTTTGGAAAGCAACTACATACAGTCTACAAATACAGAAAGTTGAAACACACAGAAAACCAAGTTCTGTTGCTGACCATGGGTTACTACTTTACAGCTCAGACTTGCTAATTTCAGCCAATTTTATTCCATGAAAGTGGTCTTCTGTTTGTTTTCTTGAAATAATTTCTCATTTAATATTTTTAGAAAGTATTAAAAGAGAACTAGAACAGCCACTCACCAGATGAACAAAACAAATCTTACCTTGGCCCTGAAGGTGAGAAATGTCCAGGCCCTCCTGCAGGCGAATGACAACTACACCAAACTGAACATCAAAGGCATCACTGAACAAAAGGGGACAAAAATATTTAACAGCTTGTTCTTTTCCAAAGGACCTGCCTTACACACCCATCCTGAACAAATTCTAGTGGTTAAAAACTGCAATTTGAGATCTCAAGTCATATATTTGCATTACTGTTTCAGTTTCAATTCCAAACCATCAACTGCATCAGTAAACTGAACAGCATATCCTGAAATGCAATGTCTAGGAAGGATATCTATCCCTCTCCTCCCTCTCCCCCCTACGTAAACTGTAATTAAATAAAAGCAACACGAACAGGTCAGTCAAGTTCTGCACAGATAAGATGCTCTAAGAAATCCAGTAACTCCCTCCATCAAAAAAGTACTTATTTTGAATAGATTTTCTTGGTCTGGGAACTAAAAATTTGTGAAGTGTATCTAAAACAATTGGGTATTAAAAACATCTACAATGATGGAGTTTAGAATCAACTCAGGTATACGTTAACTATATGTGGCCTAGTCCCATTCCATATGATGAGGCAAGGACTCATTCTGTTCAAAACCAGAGGGAAAACATTATTGTAGAAACAAGCAAAAATCCTGAATAAATTGCTGGGTAAAAGCAGTCAAATTAGTAACAATCCCTCAGATATAAGACAGAAAAGCATTAATTTAACCATATCATACAGTTTGCATTAGTAATTAATCATTGTCTTTAACATATAAATACATCATTCATTACAAACAACCACAAATCACAGAACTCTCTCCTATATCATTTCCACAGACAGAAATTTCTCAAGATTTCACTCATTAAACAGTCCTCTTAAAGTAGTAAGACTTGATTAGAAATGTTTGAAGTGTCAATATATTCTACAATAAGTGCAAGAAAAATCTGAGGTTGATTTAAGAAGTAAATGTCTTGCCCATTAGTGAACATTTTAATTTCATTACTGAGTGAGTTAGATCTGTTCAGATTAGATGTGCTGCTATTGTGTGCTTCAGAAACTTTGAATTTTCCATGCTTGACCTGCAGTTATTACCTCCTGAGGTTTCTTTAGGGATGTGGAGAACCACATGACTTGTTGGCCTTGACAGATCTTCCAGCAAAAGCCATCCCAAAATAAAATAGGGAAAAAATAAGAAAAACTAAGAACTAACCAACGTGTCCCCTTACTGTTTGCTGCATTTGGTGCTCCTGAGTTTCTGTTAAGGACCTGGTGAGGGCGAATTTTTCCCTCTTCTATCTGCCTGTAAACTCCCATCCTCTCTTTCTTCTAAAAGCACAGTAAATGAGAAGTACAAAGCACAAATGAAGTGGGTTAAGCAGCACTTCATCTAAACAAAAAACAACTCTCAGTGAAAGAACCAGCTTTTCTTTCTGAAGTGTTTGTGAAGCACAAGTTGTTCTATCAAATTTTTCAGCCAGAACTGGTCTGCCTTTCAGCACTGTCAGATTACACTGGGATTTCCTTTCCCATATCCTTTTTGGCTGCTGTATTACTGTGGGTGTCAGTGCTTTGTACCTTGTGAAGCATGTCTTCTATGTGACAGCAAGGTTTAACAAAGACAAAACATCAGCCTAGGAGCTGATATATTCTCTACCACACTTAACTGGAACAGAAGGAAGGCAGGACAAGCCCTGCTTTCAACAGAAACTATGCTTTAAAGAATTCACCAGACTGGCACATGAGACAGTAGTTCCACCTCTGAAGACCGTAACTATTAAACTTCAGACAAACAACAACACAAACTCTTTATAGATGCAGAAAGGTATTATGTAGATTTCTAATCTGCTTAAACTACAAAGACTTGGTTATTAACTTCTGCATCAGGAAAAACCAAGGTACTGGAGACTGATGAATCAGTCATATGGAAAATCTAATTCTACCTAAAAGAGACTTCATGCAACCAAGATATTTCTTGACTTGCTACCAAACATACTGAAAAGAAACATAAGAGCTACAGCTTCACTTTCTCTACTTACTGGAATAAGTTGATGTAGGTTTCAACATCTCTCATATCACTTTGTCTCCAGTTTTTCTTAAATCCAACAACAAGGGTGTTAGGTCTCATTCTACCCAGACCAGCAGCCTAAGGAGAACAGTAAGTATATTATAAAAAACATGTTATTGAAACAACTAAAGCTTAAGTTCTGCTCTCCTAAGCAGAAAACAAAGTACTTTTGATCAAAGTTTTAAGGTAATTTTGCAATAGGAACATACTTTAAAGCCACCTCCAATTTTGATGCACATCTTCACCACTTTAATTTTTCAAAAGAACACAATAATAGAGAGAAATGTACCTGCATTAAGTATTGTCCTCCATCTCTCAAGTCCTCTGCATGCACTGGTGCATAGAAAGCTTTCATCTTGTTTTTAATTAGCCATCGCTGATACTTAGCCAAATCAGTTGACAGTTCCTTCATGGCTTGTCTCCGGGGACCCTTTCAAAACAAGGAAATAAGAGGGGAGGCAACAAGAATTAGGAATTTAAGTAGTGTGAGTAAAAAAGCTCCTCCCTTTAATTTTTAAGTTTCATTATTAGAATTCAGTTCAAACATGGATAACCTCAAAAATGCTTCCACACTGCCACAAACACCCCAAAACACAAAAGACCAGGCATTACCAGTAGCAAAGACTGAAAAGTTTGATCATCTTTAGTAAGGGGGTTGCTCTAGCTGTAGCAATCTTGTTCCTGCAGAGCAGAACTCTCTTCCCCAGTGGGTGGCACCACCTTGTCCTCCAAAGCACAACATAGTTTTAAAAGGAAAGAGCTTTGCAATGGAGCACACACAGATGACTTAATATTAGGCTTTCTGTGAACGTTTGTTTCAAGCTGTACAAATGTCCCTCCATGTGTATGTCATCCTACTCAGAAAGCCTTTGTCACAGCAGTCTCACTTCTGCAGTTTTGTCTTGCAGTCAAAGTCACCTCCTCTTTAAACGGTTTCTTTTTAGTACTTCCATGGGGATGAATCTTTTGTGTTCCTCCTAGACATCAAAATGCAGAATACAGGGGGAGGTAGAACCAAGAACACAGCAGCCCAATTTTTGTAAAAGGACACGGACTCTGACCAAATTTCCTTCTTGTAGGAAAGTCGTTTTTAAATAGACAGGATATTCTTCCAAAAAATCTCTAATCTGAGCTGCTTTCCTACAAGCAGGACAACACTGCCTCACTTTTCAGTAAAGCCCTACCTCTCTAGTATTACTCAGTTTCTGTCCTCTCTCACACACTGAAATATTAGGTCTGTATAGACAGAAATTAAAAGTTTCTGAAAACAAAATATGTATGTTCCGTGGGTTGAATTAACTTGATCTGCTCTTATCAGTTCCTTAGATCAGGGGCAAATCATATTTAGTAAGTGTAGTAAATGCAAACACATTTAAGAGCATTTAAGTTGTATTTAAAGTTATAGGACCATAGAATGGTTAGGTTTAGAAGTGACCTTCCAATCCCCTGCCACGGGCAGGGATGCCACACACTAGATCAGACTGCTCTAGGCCTGGTCCAGCTTGGCCTGCAACGCTACCAGGGATGGGGCAGCCACAGCTGGCCTGGACAACCTGTGCCAGTGCCTCAGCACCCCCTGAGTAAGGAATGCTTCCTAACATCTAACCTAAAGCTGTCCTCTTTTTAAAGCCATTCCCCCTTGTCTTGACACTTTGCTTATAGAAAATGTCCCTCTCACTCTTTTGATAAGCTTCACTTGGGTACTGGAAGGGGCTCAAAGGTCTCCCCAGAGCCTTCTCCTCTGCAGAGTGAACACCCTCAGGTCTCTCAGCCTGTCTTTGTAGCAGAGATGCTCCAGCCCTCAGACCGTCTTTGTCAATTCCTCTGGACCTGCTCCAATAGGTCCTCTGGGGGCCCCAGAACTGAATGCAGCACTGCAAGTAGGGTCTCACCAGAGTGGAACAGAGGGTAAGAATCACCTCTCAACCTGCTGCCCACACTGCTTTCGATGCAGCCCAGGACACTTGGCTTTCTGGGCTGCTAGCACACATGGCTGGGTCATGTGCAGCTTTTCATCCATGAGAACCCTCAAGATTTCTCCTCAGGGCTGCTCTCAATTAATTCTTCTCGCAGTCTGGACTCATGTCTGGGATTGCCCTGACCCAGGTGTAGCACCCACTCTTGGCCTCATGATATTCCCATGGGCCACTGCTCAAGCTTGTCCAGGTTCCTCTGGATAGCATTTTCTCCTTCAGTTGTGTGACTGCACCACTCAGCTTGGTGTCACCTGTCAGTGTGCTGAGGATGCACTCAATCTCTTTGTCTGTGTCACTGATGAAGGTGTTAAAGAGCACCAGCCCCAAAACAGAGCCTTGAGGAACACACTCATCACTGGCCTTCACCTGGACATGGAGCCATTGACCACAACTCTCCATCTGTGTCCATCCAGCCAATTCCTTACCCACTGAACAGTCTACCCTTCAAATCCATGTCTCTCCAATTTGGAGATATGGATGTCATGTGGGACTGAACTGAAAGCCTTACAGAAGTCTGGACAGATGAATGTGTTGGTAATAGATGATACCTGCCAGTCATATAATTGTTCTTAATGATGTGGCAAAAAAAGTTTGGCCTTAAAATATGAAGCTAAACTACACAATCCCAACATGCTAAAATGTATTTAACAATGTTTATCAGAGATGCCACAGACTCTCTGTAGCTGACTGAAGTTTTGGTACAGATCACAGCATGACAGCCACCTTACATGTCAATTAAGACAACACAGGACAAACTTAATTCTGAAGAATTACTTGAAGCTTGCAGCCTTCCACCACCACAAAGCCTCTCCATAAGTCTGCCATAGAAGACATTCTAAGTAGTAAGAACTGTTAAAACCATATCTTTGCAGAACCACCAACACACACCTCCTACATCAGAAACAACCACAACTCGTACTCTGACAAAAAAACAGGGACAGTTAGTGAAATATTAGGGACTGGACAGAAAGGGAACAGGACATATCTGTTCACATGACTGTTTCACATGACAATGAAATGAATCTGGTAACTGAAGAAATAAAAAAAGCTACTTGGAAGGTTATGAGCAATTTTTAACTATTGGCTAAACTGATAATGACTTCCCTGATCAAAAAGGTTAATTTTCTCCCAGGTTTTATGAGAACTCTACACAGAGTCAAACACCTTGAAACAATAACAGCTCTATGCTGAGGATCACTTTCATCCAAAACATCAGAGAATACATGAGACTGTATGACACAAGGACAGAAAGAGACCCAGGCTGTAATCCAGTGTTCACTTTACTCCTACAAAAGTACCCTGGAATTTAGGCATCAAATGATCAAAAGGTACTAATTCTGGAAAGCTTCCTGGGCAGTACACCTAACCTGCAACAGTAATAACCCATACAGGAGTGGAAGTTACTAGTCAATCTCTTCTCTCACTTCTTAATGTCTAATGCCTTCATTTGAAAAAACCTGAGTAAACAAACTCAAAAACCCACGAACAAGCAAGAACCAGAAACAAAAAGGTCAAAAAACCACAAACAAGACAGACAAAAACCCCCACCAAGGCAACTTTATACAGTAAAGACACAATACACTTACCATATGCACATGGCCACAGATCATCAAGCCCACATTCTTGGTGAAAGCATGGACAAGGTGAAGCAAAGCTGGACGTGCATTTGGAGCACCTGTCATAACTAAGCACTGAGGTCTAGAATAATGAATAGATGAGGAAAGAAAACACTGGAATTAATCTGGAGCTCTGGGGGTTTTATTAACAGAAAAAGGTCTTCCTAGTTACACTTCCAGCTTTGCAGTTTACACCTGCAATTGCCAACTTTTTTCAGTTTGGCAGTGGAAAGGCCATTAATACTCATATTAATACAATTTTTAATTCTGTTTTACTATCATATTCTGAGGCTGTGCAAGCACCTATCACAACTGACTTTGCACATCCAGTTTCAACTTCCTGTACCTATGCAACATAGATGTTGTGTCCTGTGCTTCAAAAAAATTTAATCACTTCCAAGAGAGCTTAAGGGTCAGAACAGGAGTATTTTCCCAACTGACAGGAAATGCCACAGAAGTTTTCATTGAAAACTGTATTGCTGCTTCATAATCTCAGAGAATGGCACTTCTATTAGGAATCTCTCCCTTAACTCATTCCTTTCTGAATTCTGCCCTAAGAATGCAGAGTCTCCCTTCATACACAACCTAAGATTTAGGTACCAAGACTCACTTGCTAATATGCTGAGCATAACAGAATAATACACTTACTACCACTGCAAGGGATGGTAGATATTTGCTAGACTAACGGTCAAGACTAAATCCTGTGCTGGGCATAGGCAGATGTAGGAGGCAACTGCTCTACTTGAACAGTCAGGTCAACAGAACCTCCATGCTTGGAAACACTCAAAACTTGACTGGATTTGCCCTGAGCAATCCAATCTAACAAAGTTCAATCTAACTTTGCAGTTGGAGCTACGCTGGGTCAGTTGATTTGGGGATTGGACAAAGATCACACGGCAAAGTCATGCTCAATGGAAAATTATTCCATTGAATCTATAATTCCATTTATTTGGATGAGTTAGTTGAAATCAGTACTTTTTCCTAAATGTGCTTGAAGCATCTTCCTTCTACAACAGCTTATCCCAGAAAAGTGGCATCATTACTACCAGGACAGAAAAGTGCCCCCTTGATAGGACCTTTCCTGGATAGCCAAGCTGACAGACAGCACATCAGTTCTGCTCCCCAGCTGTGTGAGAAATGAGAAACACTCTTCTAGCCTGTTTGCCATTACTGAAGGGTAATGTGAGAGTATGTCTAATGGTGAAAGAGCTGGTGTTGAGTACAACACCCACAGGATACACATTTTGGGGATTTTAGATTAGCTCGGTTTCATGCCAAGTAGAGTGAATGCTCCTTATAGCAGTTTGGAGCTTATCTTCCAATTAAGTTTCAAAGAGGAACACAAATCACCATTCATGATGCAAACTATCAGGCATCTAACAAGCAGGCATCATCCATAGCCTTGCTCCTAAGTGTATTCTTAATCATAAAAAAACGCTAATGCAAGTAAGTCCACAGGATGTCCACGGTGAAGAAATTCAATGTTGTTATAAATCACAGAAGATGAACATGCGATTAGTGGAAACTATGACAGCAAACATGGCACAGTACTCTACTGAACACATAGAATTTCCTATCTAACTGTTACCTGAAGTTCTTCACGTGATCTTCCACTCCTGAGAGCCGAATAGAATGCTGTAGTGCATTCAAGTAAGTCAAGGCTTGGGTTGAGGATCCCCAGTTCACATCTGTTGAAAGATTTGAAGTCCCAATATATTATTTACAGTTGTTCCTGTAAAACTACACGATCAGAAAATGAATGTTGGATATCAGCTGAAAACACAGATTTAAGCTACACCTTGATACATTCTACAAGACAGCAGCCAGCAAACCCTACAGCTAAAGAGGCAATTTCTATTTAAAGATGACATTTCTGTAGAAGTTGCAGCAAACTAGTGAGATATTTTACAGTTATAGCAAGAGAGAACTGAAGGTTTTCTTCTCAACAGTGCAAAGACTATGACAACTTCAGAGTCAAGAGTAACACTGCAGAAAAAATGTTGTGCTGTTATTTTAGATGACAGTGAAGAAAAAAGTAATCTTTTAACACTGGCTAAACAAAGTCAGATACTTTCAGTGAAAAACTCCTTTCAGATAATTTTTATGAGGAAAAGAAAGATCCCTCTATCCTCTCTATTTGTTCACATACACACCTTTTGATAGCTACAATGAATTTATCACCCAAGTACTTCATATCTCCTTCACAGCCCATGCTGGGTTTTCCTCATTTTCAACTTCAGACACACTTTTTGGCACAGTTCTGCTCCATTTTGCACTTATGACATACTGTGCTCTTAGAAGCACTAGTAAGTTGTTCACAGCACTAGGAATGGGGCAACCATCACCTACTGCCTTTGCTGCTGCAGTCCAAGCGCATTCCATATGCACCTTTTCCTCCAATTTTCATTCAGATGTCTAAGTGAAAGGCATGTGTCTTGCTGATTTGGGAGGAGGGGGAACAGCAGTGACTATACAGGTATAATTATATTTCACTACAAAAAGCCTCAAACAGAGGTTTGAACTAGTTGCCCACCAGAAAGAAGTTTTTTTTTCCCCAAAGGTCATGACGTTTTCCCTTCTACAACCCTCCGTCCCCTTCCCCACAACCAGAGGAAACTCCAACACGTACCTGGTTTCTTGTAGGTGACATAAATGTACAGTCCAAGGACTATGACATATGTGAGAAGTGCTGCCCACCAATTGATGACAAACATGACAATGCAGCACAGAATAGCTCCAACAAGCGAAATCCACATGTTGTAGTATTTGAAAGCAGGGCGCCAACCTAGTCAACATGTAATTTGGAGGACAGAAAAGAGGGGGAAAATTAATTTAAACATTGCTCCAAGAGAAGGCACTACCCTTTTTTTCCCTTTCCTAGTGTTCTGCATCACATTTCATGTAGTGTGTGAGTCTCAGTAATGTACAGAATAAAGATTCGCACATTTATGTTTTCAATTTTCCAACAGCTTTCAAATAAATTTGCATCTTCCTTACACAGATATGTAAATGCTCCTGATTTTGCTCTCTAAAAAACACAGCTCAAAAGGAAAGTTCAAAGATGCTTGTGCCAGTGTGTCTGTTGAATCAGGCTACAGGAACCTTTGGCAATAGCTTGTCTGACAATTGGTTTTTGCTTCCAAAAGTAGTTTAACATGAATCATCAGCTCATGACTTGATCTCTTATATACTACCAGCTGGTGTTGGCTGTGCATTTTTACTGTTTTCACTTCGCCAGAAATTTTCACTACATGAAAAGGAAAAAGGACAGATATAGCCACGGATACATCTGCAAGTACTGGGTTTTGGCTTATTCCTGTAGTTTAACTAACCTCCCACACTGAAGACTATAAAAATGTGGCAATACCACCTGCAATTCCAGTTTCTTCTGGACTGGAGGATGAAACATGTTAACAGAAATCTGAAGAAAACAAAAGGCTGGTTTGTCAACACCAGACACTGAATTAGTGAGAGAGCTTTCTTCAAGAGTTTCTGAATAAACTCTGAATTACCTTGTGTTCCCTCAGCAAAGATGACAAAATGAGTAGCTCCCAAGCTCTAATGGAACACCCAGTTCTCAAAATTTCACAAGACCCAAGTATACAACATATTATGTTTTTACTCTAAAAGTGCCATGAGAATCAAATATATGTTCAGTAGTTAAACCAAACCTTCATTTATGTTAATACCTTTTAAACTGCATTTATGCATCAATGAATTGGAGGCTAAACTCCCACCCACAAGATGCAGTTCCTACCTGGGGATTTTGCAAGAGAAGCATGGAACACAGAGAAGTTAATCAAGGCATATGAGGCCAGGAAGAAATTAGAAATAATTGGAGCAATGACGTTCAGTTCAGCTGTAAAATGAAAAACAAAGCAGGGTGTTATCAAAGGTATTACCCAATGGCTACAGATTAGAAGTAAATCTACAAATATGAAGTAAAATTCCTGCTACAAAGAACTTTATTTTCTGATATTGTCTAAGGAGATGCACTTCATCCTTTCAATTAACAGACAGAGCTACTACACTACAATCTCCTAGATTTACTAAGTTATCTTCTAACAGTCAGGAAATGTTACTTTCAGTTCTAAAAACAAACACTACCGAGTGTTCTAGGGCTGACACTTTGGAAGCACTACATGCTTTCTCAAAATAATTAATTGAGACAACTTAATTGCCACCATGGCAATGTGGTGCCAGTGCAGCAATACACTGGGTTTTGAGGAATGCCAGAAAGAGCAGACAGAGCACTCGTATCTCCAGTGCATCTCTAGCTCAGTTCTCAAATAGTAAAGAACAAGGTGCTTGCAAGTTTAAAAGACAATCAACTATGGTGAATTGTGACAGCAGACAAAGTTAGTGTGAGCTATATGACAAACATGTTCCTCTGTCTGCATTTTAAATTGAAATCACATTGATGGTACCAGTACAGCACATTATCACAGCCCAACACCATCACAGCAGTGATGATTACATCCCCTTCAGTGAAAGGGGGAAGAACCTGATATCCTGCTTTCCTCAAGGCAGCATGGTACACAACACTTGCAGGTGTACTCTCACCATCCAAAAAAGAAGTAATCAAAATGCAGAATGTGCCATGTTAGTCTAAAAGCTTCTACTTGTTGCCATCAAGCTTCCAGACAGCATGCTTCAGTGGGAACCTAATGGATGTATCTCTACCTTAAGCATACTTGGGGGAAGGAGGAAAGAGCAAACTGTGGAAAAAAGTTTAGAAGCACTGGCACAGGACTCATGGGTGGACACAGCACAGTTAGTTTGCCATCTACACAGAACACATGAAATTCTACCTAGTCTGTCTTTACCTTTAGCAACAGCAGCATCAGCACTCATCTCTACTGTTTGTCACTTAACAGAAAAACACACTTTAAAAAGTACTGTTCACGTTAGTTTGCCATTTACTAAAGCTGTTTGCAATTATTAAAAATCTGAAATAAACTTTGATATTTACAAGATGCAACATCTCTCCACCTCAGACAAAAGATGCACGTTTACTCACTGACAGTATGTAAAGACAGATAACCTGTGGCATTAAGAAAAGTGCAATACTGCTACAGTTAAAATTTACTGCACTTCCAGACAGAATTGTATCTAGAAGATAGTAGAAAACAGCCTTCAAAATAACCAGATTTAGAATGTTGGCTTAGAAGTAAGCTGCGCATTAGGGTCTCTAGGACCCTCTCATCAAGTCACATATGGGATAGAGTGATTTCTGAAGGACAAAAGGGGATTGAGATTTATTACAATTTCAAACTAACCAATAAGTATGAATCCAAGAGCAATTAAAAATGTTAGAATATATCCTCTCAGTGGTTCATTGTTCTTCCCATAGCCTTTAGCAAACATCTGAAATCCTGGATAAATGCTGTCCTTGCACAAAGCCTAAGAAAAAAATAAATTCAAGAGTCAGCACACACTTTGTTAAAAATGGATCCTTATAATGCCTATTTTATTTCATTGCATATTATCTTCACAAATCAGAAAGTTTATAACCATCATGTACTTATTCTATTTTCAATTGTTTTTGCATCTTGACACTTGTTGGGAAAGGTGAAGGTTCTGCGCGGGGAAGCAAGCGGCCGACTCCGTGTGGGTGATACAGCAAGCTCCATCTTTATTGTCCGACAGGCTCTTTCTTATACAGTGCAGGACAGGCATATAACTATCAATCATTTATAATTGGCTAAGCTCTAAAGATAGCATTCAGGTACTCTCCCTACCTGCAGTTACAGCTGTGAGGATTATCTCTTACTTTCCCAGGCTTGGCTGCATTCTTAGCTGTTTGTCTCAAACTTGTTTGTCTCACCCTCAAGGACAACTTGCCCCTACCATCTGCCCAGCTGAGTTACACCCTATCTATATATAAGTTACAATCTCCAGTGCCTTGCTTGTACACTGCATTCCCAGGTGCGTTCCCAGGGGACTGTGTCCTTGCTCTTTTTAGCCTTCCCCAGGTGCATTCCCAGGCCAGGTTTATCGCTCTCTTAGCGATTCTCCAACAGACACTTCCATTTCCAATATTCTGTTCTTCAGTAATGTCTATCTATAAGAAGCTTTGCTCTTCTGTAAGTAACTATTTTACTTATTTCACAAAGAGTTTTTCTTTAGATGCTATGTTTTCTCAGGAAACGGAAAGTGCCCAATGCATGCACTAGTTCTCTGCACCAATACTTGTGTTGCCATTCTGCAGCAACATCCCTTCTGCCTCTCGCTTCCTACTGGACTTTTTTTCACCCAATTAAAGATGACTTGTAAGACAAAGAATGAGATTAAATAGTTTTAAAAAAAGTAAAGCAAATTACACTCAGGGACATCAACAGTAACACACTGTTCTCTCACTTTAAGCAACAGGTAAATGTAGATACATCTATTTATGTCAGCTGGTGTGAACTGTGGTGGCAGTATATCAGAGGCATAAAAATTAGGACTCAAAATTAATCATTCTTTAAAATGTTATGGTTTTGTTTCCATACTCACCTGGAAGATCTTAGGTGCACTCACAAGAGATGCTAATGCAGATGACAGAGTTGCTGAAAAAATACCTGCAGAGATCAGTGGCGCAAATCCTGACACCATGCTCATTACCTGGAAGCAAAAAAATAATTGTTTTTGAAGGATGTGAAAAAAGGTATTACACAAATGTACAGAATCATCAATTACATGAACAAAAAAAAAACCAACTAAGCAGTCTCCACTTAATAGCTCCCTGAATGAGATGAATTCACATAAATCAATGGACTACAGACAAATCAACGGATATAAATGGATCCTCATTTCAGAACAAGAGAATGTGGCTTTTCACATTGTCCAGCCATGTAGTTCTCAGGTCAGATAATCAATGACAAAAGTATTCATGAGCTTCTAAGAGAAATAAAAATAAATCATGGAAGAAAAACACACTGGAATTTCTTATATATTTTGATTAACCTATTGCTGACTAACATAGTCTCAGAAAGACTAAGTGACAGAGTGCTTTTCTTTATGAAACAAAAGCCTAAGTTGCTTTAAGACAGGCAGTGCTCATGAATTTCACACCATCTTGGAAAAGCTGCTCTTTTCAGTCCACAGACCAAACCCAGCATGGAGCTTTTCAAGCACAATGTATCCAAATGAGGTTCTGTATCACTCACTCTGGTCCTTGCCTCTTCATCCTGGCAACCTCACCTAGATTATCAGGGAAGCAACTAAGGAAGGCAAGAAAGATCAGGCGCAAGTGCCCCACTTTAAACTTACTGTCACCTGAAGTTGTAGAATCTAAGCTGTCTGAAGCAATCTTACTAGGTAGGACATGTCCTCAGAAACAATATACAGGTGACTGATGAAGTTTTGTTCACGTAGGGCTAAATTCATGGTAAAATTTAGTGGTTTTCTCCAGACTAGAAAGAGATTATTTTTGTAAGAAGAGCTTGAGAGGTACACAAGCTTGGGGCTCCCCTTCTCACACACACTGTGCCCTGCATATGAGAAAAACATCTCTCCTCAAAGCTACTATTCAGAGTCACAAAGCTGAGAGCAGTTCATTTAGGAAATGGACAACAGCTTCTCATTAGGTAAATGGCCTCTCACACAAACAATTTCCTTCTGAGTTCTGAGAGGACAGAATCAGACTTTTCCCAGAGATGCATAGGAAAAGCTATGAGGATAAAAGAAAAGGCAGCAAAGTCCCACTTTAGGAAAACAAAATTGCAGACAAGGTGGCTCAGCATTGCAGTAGGCTGCCCAGAGATGCTGTGCAGTCTGCATGACAAAGCTTTCAGAATCCCAAGAAAGCAGGAGGGCA